TGTTTTTAAATTAATGATCTGAAGCACATGTATTAAATAAATCCTGACATATGGGTTATGTTATTCTGTTTTTACATGTTTAAAATGTTTCATAAATAAAATAACTAAATAGAAGAGGCATTTTTTTTCAGGCTTAAGAGTCAACAATTTAATGAGGATCATCATTCGTTCATTTACTCTTCATTCATTCATTCACTCATTCAACAAATAAGCAGGACATACAATCATAATGGTCCAAGGAGTGATGCACTGAGGATACCACAACAAAGTTATGTTGATTTCAAGAAGCATCTGGTAGTTTCTTATACCTTATGGTAAATATTGCTTGATAACACTACAGACTGAGGGATTCGTGGCAAGCTAAACAATGATACCCAAGGGATGCTAGGAAAGACTTCCAGCATTCCACCACAGGACTGCCTTTGACTCTATGTTTTGTTCAATATTTTTTAAAGATCAACTTATGCATATGAAATTGACAGAAGATTTTGTACTATAATGAGTGGTTAGGATGTTGTATGACAAAACAAATATTAACATTTTCCATTTAGACTAAAATAGTAAGATAAAATTTGTCAGAAATAAAAAATATTTTGCCTTTAATTTTAAAAACAAGGTCAAATGCACAAATATAGAATGGCATTCAATTCTAGGAGCCACCTATTAAGGGAACCCTCTCAATTAAAGAATGGAAGAAACAGAACGGGGAAGAGTTTAGAAGTCAGAGGAATGGTCCAAAGAGCTCATGATACTAAGTCTCTGGGAAAAGAAGGAAAAATCCCCACTAAAATGGGGCAGCTGGTGCTCTTTAAGTATTAAGAGTTGACACACACAAGCAGAAATGGGCTTGTTCTCTGCTACTGCTCTTTAGGGGAGACCCAGAACCAAAAGGTACATGTTTCAAGATGACAGATTTCAGCTCAACACAGGAAAAAGGGAGAACAATTATGAACTGTCTCTTCAAGAAAAGAAAAGAAAAAAGAGCTACTCTATGTTTAAACACAGGATACATGGACTGTCTTGGGTTTTATAAATGGTCTTCCTGACCAAAGTAGTAGTTGGAATGGAAGATCTTGCCAGTCCCTTTCAATTCTTAAATTCTATTCTTTCAATTCTTAAATTCTATGAGCACAGCCAGGAAAGATGATGCTAACACCCACAAAACCCTAAAAACTCTCTTCAACTCATTTTGTCATACACTATTTTTTAAGTTACAAAGGATAAACTTTAAGAAACATTACTGACTTTTCCCATTCAATTTCCATTTGCTTTGAAAGAATTAAGAGAAAATATAGCCAATAACATGATTCCAATCTCTACATTTCATGCTGAGAGGAAATAAATGCAAGACAAAATAAGTATAAATACAACAAATAAACAAAGCAAGTATAAAACAAAGTATAAATAGCATGGTGGGAACTACTAATATGCCAAGTGGGAAATTTGTTTCAAACTGAACTGGGAATTCAGATAACATACTCAAAGCCAGTAAGGAACAGGTGACACACAAGCATGACTTGAGAGCGTGGACATTAAAAAAGTCTTAGCTCTGTTCAGCATGGGGTCCCTGGTGGGCTTAGGTGATAACATACCCAAGGAAAGAACTAATAGTAAATATGCAAGGGTCACTGTTGCTGTTTTTGAAAAAAATATATATATTTACAGAAGATCTAGGAAGAATTTTAAAATGGAACTGCTTTTTAAAGTCCACAACACTACATCCCCTCATAATACACCCCCACTTTACATCCATGTTGCCTCTGACAATTGTGAGCTGGAAATGGTATTTTTAAGTTAAAAGATCTGGGTTGAAGGTCTAGTTCCACTATGTGCAAACTGAGGGACTCTGAGCAAGTTATTTAACTCCTTGGTGCCTCAGTCTCCTCCACTGTAAAACAAAGATACTAATAACAATTACTTAAAAGGTTATAGATCCAAATGCAATATGAAAATGCTGTGCAACCTATACAGCATAAGTTTGCTGTGGTTTGTACTTAACTTTACCTAAAAGGAGTGGGAACCATCTGCTCACTTTCACCTCTCTTACTTTGCCTCTACATTTAGCCCTTACCTCATCAGAAGGCAAAATCTAAAAAGAAAAACTTGGTTTTGAGATAAGGTAATTAGTTCTTAAACCCAGCTGTTCATCAAAATAACCTGGAGAGCTTGCTAAATATACAGCTTCTTGTGCCCCAGACCTACTGAATCAGAATCTCTAGAGACAAGGTCCAGGACAGGGGACTGATCCTGGACTACAAAAAGGGCAAATTTGGGCACCTTTACAACCATTGGATCTCAGAAATGTAAGCCTGGCTATTAGCTCCTCTATAAAGTTTATCTTAATGAAATATTATTAAGTGTAAAATGTTTATCCTGTTTTTCATCATTTTTTTTTCCCACCCAATCACTGTTTAAGTAGTTCAGGAGTTTTCATGAAAACCTTAAAGTGTTGATCTAATTTCAATGTACTTTAAGGGACATGGTAAGAGATAACCACAAACTGGGTTCAAAGTTCCAGTAAAATTCATACGTTCAATTACTGTTGTGTCAATTCAGCTACAGTCATTAATTTCTGCAGTTGCAAAAGTTAATTGCTGGTGTTCACTGGACTTCATGTGCTTCCTTTTAAAGATACTCAATCCACCAGGATTGTGCTCCTGAAAGAAGCCTTACTCTAACCAGCCCAAGCTATCATTTTACATATGAGAAAAGAGAGAGAGAGAGAGAGAGAGAGAGAGAGAGAGAAGGTCTACAACCAGAACTCCCACTACTGGTTCAGTATTTGAGAGGAAAGGCAGATCAGAAAACACTGTAGCAAGAAAGAAGGCAAACTCTTTGAGGGCAGGGCTGCACAGCCAGCACCCACAATGGTACCCAACACACAGGAGATGCTCAATAAATCCTCGTTGAATGAATGAGTGACTGGATATTAGAGGGCAAAACTGGCCCACTGCTCGTTTTGATAAATAAAATTTTACTGGAACACAGGCACAGGAATTCATTACAACATGCAAGACATATTGTTTATGGCTATTCTCAAAGCTGAGTTGTCACCATAGAGACTGGCTTGCAGAGCCTAAAATATTATCTGGCCCTGGACAGAAAGAGTTGACCAACCCTGCTAGAGTCCGAGGGTGGCTTGTTGGAGACCTGCAGAGGCAAGCAATTCATCTATACTTTACAAATCTTGTTTGGGACACCATTTAGTACTTCTCTTCTGAGCTACCCATATTTCTCTGTGATCAGCTATCTGCTGCACTGATAACAGGTACAGTCTGAGACTCTCTGAACAAAATTATTCTTGAAAACACTGGGTCACAGCCTCCTTAGCAACATTCTTTAACCAAATTAACAACAGATTAACTTCGTGGCACTACTGAGCCCACTGTGCCTTACCGTGTAAAAGATCTGCCTTTTCTTAGTATCATGAGCATAATTTTCTGTTTCATTCCAAGTGACTCGCAGACTATTTTTTTTAAGTCCCTTCCTATAATTTTTATCTGAGAATAGGGTCTCCCAGTGTAAAAGCAAATTGTCATTACATAGCCGGTTCCATATTTTCATCCACCCCAATCAACCACTTCATCGCCAAAGTAAAAAGAAAGAAACCCATAAACTTAGAAAATGAAAGAGGAAGGGATCCTTTTCCTTTTATTCCTAATGCCCCAAATCATTTCATTTGTTCTAAATTCAACTGGGAGGCTAATAAAATGAAATTTTATTTCATTTCCAGGCCCTGAGAGTGTGATTTTAAATGTTTTCATCATAACAAAATTATGGAATAAATTTGAAAGTTCTTAAAATAGGACAGGTTTTAGTTCATGAAAACAGAACCGACATTCACAGCAGCATTATTCTCAACAGCCAAAAGGTGGAAGCAATCCAAGTGCCCATCAACAGATGAATGGCTAACACAATGTTATATGTACACAATGTAATATTATTCAGTCATAAAAAGAAATGAAATTCTGATACTTAATACAACACAGATGAACCTTGAAAACATTATGCTAAGTGAAACGAACCATACACAAAGAGACAAATGTTTTATGATTCCAGTTACATGAGGTACCTAGAACAGGTAAATTCACAGAGAAAGAAAGTAGAACAGTAACCAGGTACCCTGGAAGGGAGGAATGGTGAATTACTGCTTAATAGGTACAGAGTTTCTGTTTGGGATGATGACAAAGTTCTGAAAATGGATAGTGATGATGTGAATTGTGAAATCACTTAATATCACAGAATTGTACACTTAAAAATGGTTAAAATAGTAAATTTTATGCACATCTTACCACGTGAAAAAATATCAAGATTTTTTTCAAAAAAATAGGTAGTACAGCCCCTATTACCATACCCAACTCCATACCTCAGCAATTTCCAAAAACAAAGGGCAATATGAATAAAGGACACTACCAAGGAATTGAAGCAAAAAGACGCTAAACCAAAATTCTATTATTTCCTTAAAGATAAACTGTAACCAGATATGATTAACCAGCAATAATAATGAATGCTACTTGTACAGCAATCTCTTTGTACCATAAAAAATGGTCTTTAGTACAAGTCTACTCAGAATAAAAATGCCTTTTTGGTACGTGCCTTGACTCTCCAACTAAACAGTAAATTCCTATGGGCAGGGGCCGTGTCTGCTACTTCTCCGTTGTCTCCTTACCGGCTCTACCAACCCAGAGAACTGAGTTGGCAGATGCTGGACAAAGTTACTATAACCTACAGGTGCGACTTTCCCTTCACCCAGTCTACCCAGCAGGTAGTCGCCGACCTGCAGAGCCCGGGAGCTATCCGGCCCAACGTCTCTGGGCCCCAGGCCGGACCGTCTGTCCGCGGCTGACCTGGGCCTCCCAGAGCACTTCCGAAACGCCCCCGGGAGTGCCGCGGAGAAAAAACCTGGCCTTTGCGCTGGCGGACGCCCGAGGCCCCAACCCCGGGGGCCGGCCTCGCTTAGCCTCGCCTAGCCCCCGCCCGCTCCCCGACGCGGCCCTCACTTGTGCGTTTGCTGATATAACGGCTCCATGGCGCCGGCAGCGCCGGCTCCGGCTCTGACCGCCTCAGACCACGTCCTCACAGTCTCCCTTCCGGCTTCCGGTTTCCGGTCGCAGGACCCTCCCTTCCCTGCCGACGAGGGCTGCCCGCACGAACGCCTTACTGGATATGGTTGCAAGATCGGAGAAGGCGGACGAGAAACAAAACAGAGAAAGGAAGGATAAGTGTAGTCAGAGACTCGGCCACAGCTGGAAGACGAGGAGCTGTAGCGTTCTGCGGAAGGCTAGCTTCAGTCAGTTCTGAGTCAGGCATTAGAAAGGACAGCCTCGGGGCACTGACGTGAGGTCCTCAGACCAACGTCGAAGGCTTGCGGGCGGATAATTGCTCTTAGCTGCAGGAGCGAGGGTGGGAGGGCACCTACTTGGCTTCGCTGTAAGTCTTCTAACCGCGGGTCTGGACATGTTCTTCACTGTGCTCCCTGGCGCAATCTTCTCCTGTCTCGAGTTGTCCTCTCACTCCTCCTTCCACCTCCCTCCCTTCCCATTTATCCGTCCAATAGACCCGCAGTGAGTTAATGGTTATTTTGTGTCAAGTGTGATGTGGGGTAAACTGGGTTCCTCCTGCCCTCAAAGAGGTCGCGGTGTAGGAAAGAAAATAAGATATGTATACAAATAAATATGCTAAAAGGTAAAAAAATCCAAAGAGATTGAGCCAAGCTGGGGTCGTTTCCGGTAGGAGATTCAGGATAGACTTAGTGAAGGGGGTGGCACTTGAGTTGGGGCTTGAAGGATTTGGACACTTCTGCCTGTCCACATAGACCTATCCTGTTTCTGTCCTCCTAGGCTTATCTGCAGGTTCTCCCATGGGAGGTGTTTCCCTTCCTTTGACAAGTTGATGCTTCTATTTTCCTGTATCCCGGATCCCACCCAATTTTGTGTCCCAAAAGACTGTCCACCCACGGACATTATTTCCCTAACATTACTTTTTCCACTTATTCTAACATTTATTGAGCATCTACTATGTACCATGTACAAATATTAGAGATAGGAATATAAGCAAGACACAGTCCTCAAATCTCCCATATCTCTCATAGTCCGTTGGGAGGACTAATCATACCCTCAAGCTATATCGAGTAGAATATACCCTAAGATTGATACAAAGTGCCGTTTCCCTGGGGAGGAGCAAGCAGAGTTCATGGACTATATAGCATATGAATAGTGCCTTCAGGAATCCATAGAGTGTTAACAGTGTCTCGAATATACTAACCACTCTGTAAATGTTTATTGGCCTGGTAGAGATGAGAGAGAGGGCATTTGAGTCTGAGGGAATAGCTGGAGCAAAGGCAAACAGGGGAAAGAACATGGATCTCCTGTGGCTGGGTTTAGGGGGCTTGGGACAATAATAATAGTATTAGAAGGAAGGTTAGAGCCAGATCATAGGGATTTTAAATGTCAAGCTTAGATTTCTATTTACAGATTTTTGTTCTATAGGTGGTTGGAAGCTATCAGAGGTTGGATGGAAATTTAAAATTTTCTCAAAGAATTTTCATGCGTGTATGTTATTTTCCCTTGGGCCTCACGGCATTCCTGTGAGGTGGATAAGGCAGATAAAGAAATTGAAGTCCAGGAGATCGCCCCTCTGTCTCTTCATTCTCCTAGAACTTTTCTAGGCTCACCAGAGTCTACCTGGCTTAGTCCAATGGTCTCTTTCTATAAACCAGCCTACATTATATGTTCATTGCGCTCATACTATGTGTAGGCACAATGCAAGGTCTGGAGTACAAAGATGAGCAAGACACCATCTTGCCAAATAAGTTCTTTAATATACTGGGAGGGAAACATCTACACAGACAATTAGGATACTATGAAGTGATTATGGGGTATAGGTAGTTAGGAACTGTGGGATAACAGAGAGGGAACACTTAGCCTAGTTCAGGGATTCAGGAAGGCTTCAAAGAGGACGTGATATCTGAACTGAGTCTTGAAAGATAAGCCCTATGGGAAGAGCATCCCAGGAGGAGGAAACAGCATAAACTAAAGCTGAGAGACATGGCATGCAGGCAAAGTACAAAGTTTGATATCACTAGAACATACTGTGCAAAATGACAAAGGACGAGGACAGAGAGGTAGATTGTAGCCAAGTCAGTCTAAAGAGTTTGAACTTCACTTTGTAGTTGGTGGGGAGCCATTGAAAGATTTTAATCTTGAGAGTCACATAAGTAGATTGGCATTTTAGCAGATCACTCCAGCTGCAGTCCAGTGGGCACTGTGGTTCAGAGGGAGGGAAATGAGATAAAGAGCTATTTACATTAGTACTTCATTGGTGAGGGATGCCCTGGGAAATGAGCGTGTGTGTGTGTGTGTGTCTGTGTATCTATCTATCTTGGCAGGACTGTCTCTACGGTTTGTGGGACCTCAGGAAAATATTTTTGTAGGTTCTGTCAAGCAATTTGATTAAAAACTATTACAAAATTCATGAACCCTTGTGAGGAATAGTGATTTATCAATAAAGACTTAGAATAATTGGTAGATAAGAGGTACTTAACATATTTGTTTATTGACCAGTAAGTGCATGTGAAGATTCCTTACAGTGTTCAGGCACCATTGCTTCCTGTTTGGGTCCAGGAACTATCTCTTCAAATTCTTTATTGTCAAATGTGCTATTTATGGCTAATTTCATGTTACCATGAGAAAAAGGCAACTGCTGTGATTTGAATGTGTCCCCCAAAGTTCATATGTTGGAAACTTAATCCCCAATGAAATGGTGTTGGGAGGTGGGGCCTAATAAGGGGTGATTAAGAGGTGATAGATTAGGTGGGAATGCAAAATGGTGCAACCCCTATGGAAAATGGTATGGAGGTTCCTCAAACAGTTGCAGATAGATCTGCCATATGACCCAGCTATCCCACTGCTGGGAATATATCCAAAGGAATGGAAATCATCAAGTCAAAGATATACCTGCTCCCCAATGTTCATTGCAGCACTCTTCACAATAGCCAAGAGCTGGAATCAGCCCAAATGTCCATCATCGGATGAGTGGATACGGAAAATGTGGTATATCTACACAATGGAATACTACTCAGCTATAAAAACGAATGGAATACTGCCATTTGCAACAACATGGACCTTGAAAGAATAATATTAAGTGAAACGAGTCAGGCAGAGAAAAAGAAATATCACATGTTCTCACTTATTTGTGGGAGCTAAAAATAAATAAATTAGGGGCCGGCCCGGCGGG